AAGCCTAAGCCTAAGCCTAAGCCTAAGCCTAAGCCTAAGCCTAAGCCTGGGCCTAAGCCTAAGCCTAAGCCTAAGCCTAAGCCTAAGCCTAAGCCTAAGCCTAAGCCTAAGCCTAAGCCTAAGCCTAAGCCTAAGCCTAAGCCTAAGCCTAAGCCTAAGCCTAAGCCTAAGCCTAAGCCTAAGCCTAAGCCTAAGCCGATGCTATTTCGACAAAGCACGCTCTTTTTCACACACTAATAGCTGTTTATAGTCGTAGGCAATAAACGATTTTCTTTTTTCTTCGTTCATTTTGAGTTCATACGCGCAGAGTTCATTTCGTTCAATAAGTGATCTTGCAAAAATCAAATTTTATTCCCCAAACCATAAATTTATTGCACCAAAAGCAAGAGATTCCACAATGAAATAAATACAAACCAGAGGTTGCAAAACACAAAAAGATTAATCGGTTTTCCCCTTCCATTTAATCGATTAGGCCTCCTAGACGAGCGGTTTGTGATCCTCACTAAAAATTGCATATTAAAGGTTGCACGTTCTTCATCAAAGCAGAACAATTCTTGGAAACGCCTCGAGCTTTTTTTAAGGTGAGTAATCCATTTCTTCAAAGTCTATTCACACTTCCGAATCGAGTTCCGAACTTTGACCTGTTTTCGTTTATCGCAAAGATGCTAAAAATTCTAAATTATTGACTGAACACTTTTCTTTTTTCCGTTAAACATTTCAATTTATCGTTTATCAATATTCCGATTTTCAGCGAAACTTTCTATGATAATCAAAGTGAAACTCATAGGCATTCTTGGCCTTTTCCACTCTGATAATCTACGTGCTTTTTTACAGATCTTATCGACGGAATCTATTGGGTTGGCCAGTTATGAATGCGCGTTTTTACTATTTTTTAAATTTCTCAAGACATCGAACAGATGTATATGAGTGTTATATATCATTCGAAAGCTAAAGATCTCCTCTACATTTTGGAATAAAAAAGTTTTTGAATTCATTAAACTTTTTGGGAAATTGACTGCACAAAGGGAGAGGTCGTTATCGAAAAAACCCATTCCCGCTTAGCTATTCCCCAAGTTTTATGGTGTAAAATAACCGCCCAGAAAAGAAAAAAAAGTAAAGATGCTCTGAAATTGTTATATTGATGTATTGATGTATCTATTGGCCAAACATCAAACGGTTAACTCAATTTGAGCGGAGCCAAAACTTGATCCAAAGGCACCCTTCCATTTTTTGGCCACCTCTTCTTCTGTGCAGTCAATTTGCCCAAAAGCTGAACAAATTCAAAAAATTTTTATATCAAAATATAGAGGAGATCTTCAGCTTTCGAATAATATTCATATATATCTTTTTCTTAATTTCGGTATCTTCAGAAATTTACAAAGTAGTAAAAAACGCGCATTGATAACTGGACAACTCAATAGATCCAGGCACTTCCAATTATCTCTGAACTTTGAAAAGAAAAAGAAATTAGCATTGTTTTCATCAGTATCTCATTCCTCGAGAACAAATTTCTCACCGAAGCGGGGAGAAACGTTTGAAATTCTTTAAGGAGCTCTTTCTTCTGATCTGGCTAATCTAATGGAGAGTCATTGTAAATGAGATGTCTCCAGCTCGATCTTCAATCTAAAAGCTTCTTTCGGGTTTTAAAATACAGACAATACTTCAAGGTCTAAGTGTTTGTTTCTTACAAAGATACTCAATCATGATTGAGACATATCCGATATACCTTCCTACGTATGAGTAAGGTATTGAGCACTACCAGGCCTGTAGCTAGCATAAATTTTCAGAGGGAGGGCAAAAAAGTTCGAGTCGGCAGCCACCACAATTTTTCTGTTTTCGTATTGTGCAATTGTTCAAATTTTGGACAACGAAATTTAAAAAGTGATTCTTGAAGAAAAGCGCAAATTCTTGAAGAAAAAGGCTATCCAGTAAGAAAGTGCTCCAAAAAGTTCTGATTTCGGGGGAGGGCACACTTTCTAAAAATGATACTTTTTGGCCCCTCCCATCCCTGGCTACGGGGCTGGGAGGGGAGGGGGATAAAGACCAACAGCGACATTAATGCTTTTGAACGGGATAAAATTTAGTCATAAATTAGTCAATTTAGTCATAAATTTTGGCGAAACAAGGTTCGGATAAGGAATGAAACATGAAGGAACAGTTTTGTTTAGTTTTCTTATTTTCTGGCAAAATAATTAGCGCACTACAGTAAACTGTTTCAATTCCTTCGTAGGTCATATCTGTTTCTTCTCTCTCTTACCTGCACTAGCCCTAAAAAAGATTGATTTCAAAATTTCAATTTCAATCAAAATAATTTTAAATTTCAAAATAGTCTACAATGGGTTGGGGTTGACACGTATGAAAAAGAGAAAAGAGGAAAAGGGATAGGGCTCCATTATGGATCTTCTCAAATGGCAAGAATGGCATCGGGTTTTGTGTTTTTTGGTTCGTTCTTCATCCTCACATATAGTTTGAGGATAGAATTCCTGGACCCAAATATCGATCTGAGCAGTTTCAGTTCGAAAATACAAAGAATGAGCACCTATAACCAGTATCGGATAGTTTCCCGGGTTCGGATTAACGTATTTTCCCTAGTAGTGCACCGTAAGCTTTGCCTAAATTGCTCGAAATCTCGAAAACCGCTTATATGAGCTTATGAGAACCTATCGATGTGGAAGCGGAAAATGTAGCTGACGACGAGATCTTGTGGGGATTGAAGTTTTAGGCTTCTGTGAAAACTTAGAAACTTGTCGAAGCTTGTCGGAGGAGCGAACTTTGAGACGTCCCAAAACAATTGAGTTTTCAGCAAAAACCAAAAAACCTACCATAGAAAAGCTCCTCAATTTTTATTTAAAAAAAGAGCTTGTAAGAATCGCTCGAAAAATTGTGGAGATTTGGGACCATAATTCTGTTTCCCCCTTTTTTTTGCGGTTTCCAAGTTTTCACAGAAGCCCAACACTTCAATCTCCCACAAGATCTCATCGTCAGCGACATTTTCCGGCTCCACATCGATAGATTCTGATAAGCGTTTTTCGAGATTTTGAGCAATTTACGCAAAGCTTACGGTTCACTACTAGGGAAAATACGGTAATCCGAACCCGGGCAACTATCCGATACTGGTTCTAAGTGCTCGTTCTTTGTATTTTCGAACTGTAGGTGCTCAGGCGATGGTGATCAATATTTTGAGTCCAGGAGAAAGCTTGTCTTTTCATTAACTGATTGACTAACAAAATTCTCAGGCCTAAAATGTTTTTGGATGCATTTAAGTAAAGTGGTCAATTCTATCAGCTCAAGTTTGAGTCAGTGATTCAAATGAGTCAAGCTCGGGAAATCACAAACTCAAGGTTTGAGGCAAATCAGTGACTCAATCTTGAGTCGCTCGCCTCACTATCATTTCAGTTCTTGTCGCCAAGGATTCTCGGCGGACCGACTCCTCAGACTGTTGTCCCGCTGGCTCGACATTGCCAGGGGTACAATGACGAGGAACTTTATGCTCAATATTGTAACGGCTATTGTAAACGGGTTCTCAAGTATTTTGATTTCTGTTTCTACAATAAAATTAGCTGTCAACAACTTTATTATAAAAGAGTGTTCGGTCGAATCGAACTTATATGGATTGTATTGATCGGACCGAAAGTACTTTTCCACCAAGTGACAATGAGTCGTCGATTGCTTTTCGAGGCAAAGATCACAATTGACGAAGTGAAAAGCGAATGGAAGCTCACCCATAAAGGGAACATGTCGGCTACTGAAAGTTGGCATTATTCTGGTCTTCAACACCTAGAGCCAGGGTTATTTCAACCGGGCCCTAGGATCTGAGGTCAGGTTAAACCAGAGCCCAGTCAGAAGTCAGATCCATCCAAATTCTGGGATAGGTAGGCCAGGAACCAGATCAAGTCTGGTCAGCAGACAGACCAGACCAGACCAGACCAGACCAGCCCTGTAAGCTGCTCCAGTACTGTTAAATAAAAGCATTGACAAATTAAATAGATTTGAACACCTACCAATTTCAAAAATATCGCCTTGAACCGATTTGAGAACAATGAGGATTAGAAAAAAAAACGGAATCCCAATTGAAATGATAAACGTGAGAAGCTGAAGATTACTGTAACTAGATCTTGATCTTAGCTCACCTGTAGAAAGAAAATTGTATTGAAATATCGGTGCATTTCTTTTGTTCTTTCACTCATATATGATTTCGGGTGAAACGCATCATAAACGATTGCTGCCGCCAAGAAAAATGTACTGCTGAGGTAAAAAGCGGTCACGATTTTGCTAGTGTTCAATGTGGCGCGTTGAGCCGAATTGAAATCACAATGGACCATGTAGGGTGGATTTTCTCCACAAGGTAAACCAGTCAATTGACATACCTAAAATTTTGCCTACCACAACTTGGTTTTATGAGCTTTACACTGACTAATCTGAAATTTTTCCTTGGTTTTAAGGAAAAGCTGTTTAATTTTTGATTTGGCCGGTTTAATTGCCCAACCGGCGACCCCGAGTTTGGCCCCAAGCTCATTGATGGCAGAACAAGGCTCAATTCTTTTGATTTTATCTATGTGAGGCGAAAGACAAGGACTTTATAGTATCTGAGTAAAGCCTACTGAAAGTGAGCAGCTTATAAAGTTAAGAATTTAACAGGGTTAGCTCTCTGGGTGACAGGAAGTTTCTGGGTTAGTAGCAGTAACATTTGCCTTCATGGTTGAATGGTTAAGCGCTTTGAAAGGTATTCAGCTACGAGAACTTGATTGGTAGCCATTTTTTAAGTGGGACTTATAATAAAACCGGCTCACCAGCACACCATCAATGCACGCTTTATCATTGTACATCGTGAGCCACCGATTGATACTGTTATAGCAAAATAGCGGTGCTGGACAGAGAAAATAGAGATATAGAAACCGTAGCCATCGTTTGTGATCATCGTGCACTAATAGCAACTTGTATATGGCGTTACAAATGAAGAAAATGCCACATAAAAGCAGATGGAACAAGTACAGTCCCTAGGATGCAGGATTTGATGGATAAGCGAATATTTTAGAAAGGGTCTCTCTAATTGCAAGAGACTAGAAACACCTAGAAACTGGTTTAGATTCCAAAAATCAGCCAGTAGGAATGTTCAACTGGACTCTAGCACCCGTAAGACAGATCAGTAGCTAAGCCAAGACTTAGCGTCTGCTCCAGACTTGCTTGTCTGTTCTGACTTGGAAAAATTACTAACTAGGAGAAAAAGACAGCTGCCAATTGAGTTGAACAGACTCGTTTGTACGAGAACAGTTTGCGCAGAAACCAAACCAAAAGGCCGCATCAAAGTCACGAGAACATCGCATTCGAAAGCAGCTAGCTGAAATGAAAAGTTATTACAGCCAATTTTTCCAATTTGATGTTATATCTTCAAGCTTTATCAAATCCTTTCTCACCATTTGCAAAGCAAGGACAATCTTGTATTGTTTTGCGGTAAAGAGCACTTGCGAGAAAAGCAGATACAAAGCGAGTATCAATAAAATTGATGAGAATAGAAAGAGTAGGCCATAAATGATTGCAAACCATGAGAAAAGTTGAGGAGATGGGAAGAACATTTGTTAGATATCGATTTGAGAGAAAACATTTTAGTCACATAGAATTTTTTGGGTTTCTTGTTGAACAGGTGGTTTTTTACTAGGAAACCTCAAAAATTAACAACGAGCGTCATTGATTTTGGTGAGAATTGAAAATACAGTCGAACTTCCATATAACGAATTGCTCGGAACCGAAAACTTTGATATCGTTTGCCGAGCCGGTAAGCTTGGTCCTCTTCAGGCAATCGTAAACGATGCTCTTTGGAATGGCGAGTTCTTCGGCGATTGCTAACGGTCCTACTTCGGACTTCGATAGACGCTCAATGGCTGGCCGAAGATCTAATACCATCTAAATAGTTATATTCCGAAGGAAAGTAATAAAATAAAACGCAAAAACAAAATAATTACCCAAAAAAAACAAAGTTATCTGGTCAGCAAACTAGAAGATGCGCAATTTGATTCCGGGAACTTTTTACGCACCCTGTAATTAAGGAAAAAATCTAAGAAATTTGCGACTTCCTGAATTTCTCGTTAATTACCCCCACATCAAACACATTAAGCAAGTATTTTGTGAGATTGGGTAAAATCTTATCTGATGGCGTATCTGGATGACCTAGACAAATAGCCCAACAAGGAGCATTTGTATTTCAAAATGGCAGCTCGATTGGGTAGTTGGCCAGAAATTTGTGACATTGATTACGCTATCGCAAAACCTATGATTTTGTGATTTTGCGAGTTTTTGACTACTACCTTGGCTAGATTTAAAGCCGCAATTTCTGCAATTGATTTGACTGCTCTGTGATATCTATTTATCTTTTGGGTGTGTTTTGAGTGGTATCCTGGGTAATTATTGCCATTTTGTTTTGTCGCTATTCAACTGAATAAAGCATATTATATATTGGGTTGGGGAGAATGAGTCGGCGCCGAAAATCAAAAAAATGTCTAAAACTTCTAGCAGAGTTCGTCAAATAATATGCGTTTCATATCAGTAGAATGGTTAACTAATTCTCTACAAAATCACATTTAAAAGAAAATTCAAACAGCGCCTCCGCTCAAGAAAAAGCCATTTTTTCACAAAAACTACAAACTGTCATCTAGAAAAAACAATTGGTGGGATCTTCCTGCAAATTTGGCAACTTAAGTAATTGAATGTGCTCTATCTTTTTTATATAAACACCAAAGAAGATTTATGTGAAAGAAACTGTTCAAATGATGAGTCGGGCTCTTTGCCATTTTGACTAGCTGTCTTTGGGAGTCCATAAACTCCACGAAAGAAAAGCTTTGTGGAATCTCTCAAAAGTCATTTTGTAGAGAAATAGTGGATCCTTTTGATGAAACCAAACGTATATTTAAAGAAGGCTTTATGTGTGCAAAAAGTCCCTTTAAAGTTTGGCGCCGAGTCATAGTCCCCAACCCAATATATATATGTCGTAGCCGATTATGAATGAGTGGGTCCGGAGACGTTCAACCATCAAGTATTTGGTATCATTCAACGCAGAATCATTAATAATTATGTTAAATTTTTTAAATTAGAAAGGTTGGATAAAAAGAAAAAAATTATGGGGCTTCAAAGTTTTCTCTTGAAAAAACAGTTTTTTTGCTCTAATTTTTTTTTCTTTTTATCCGATCTTTCTAATTTAAAAAATTTAACATAATTATCAATGATTCTGCGTTCAATGATACTAAATACTTGACGGTTGGGACACTCCTAGACCCATTCATTCATAATCGGCTACGGGGGTCCCGCCGATTTTGAATGAAACGTTGTGGCGCCGGCAATTTTTAACCTAAACTCACAAATTTGGTACCAATCGACGCAGAATTTAATTCGCTACAAGATGATATAATATTTTCGTCATACATTAAAGGGTTGCTCTACTAGAAAGATTTGCCAAAAAATTTCATTCATAATCGGCTACGACATATATACCACTGATCATTGATTGAATGTTTCGCTAACTAATTTGCATCTTAAACAGCACTATCATTTCGAGTTTCGATCTTTTACTCTTGAAATGTCTCATTTTCTTCCGAGAAACATCTCGATGAACCATTTTGTGACAGTCTAATCATGTTTTTGGGACTCGCCCATGTCTATCCACAGATAAGGCATCAAACCCTTAGTCATTCCACCACATTTTAACATGAAAACTCTTTCCTTGTACTTGATGTCGGTCATTGGCTCATTAGTCATAATCCTTTTGCAAGATGAACTCAATTTATCACGAATCTCTCTACTTTGCCTCTCTTATCAAGCCCCACTCGCATCAGACGACAAAGAAAAAGGGCTTATAAAAGTGTCAAGAAATCAGGAAATGACAATTTTGTTTGTCTCTGAGATGATTTCAAGGCTGATTTCAGTTGTTCTTCTTATTTCTTTGAGCTGTTATTCTTTGGTGAATGGCTGTCCACAGGGATCGATCGATTATGGCGATCGACAGGAGTGCATCTATCCAGTTGATTCGAGTGAGATTAAAAGTTTTAGGAAAAAACCTAAAGTTTTAGTAAGCCTAAAGTCTCTTTTGCTTTCATAAATTTAATCGAATCTGAATACTAAGCGATGAACAGAATTTACCAGTTACAGGCTCTTGATACCAGCTATTCAAGGAGTTGAATATAATAGCCTAATACGTATGAGTCGTACGTTGAAAGTACTGTAAAAACTATCTACCATATATAAAAGAGCTGTTTCTGTGCATAAAACTACCCCAGAAGAAAACTAATACCTTATCCTTTTCGAATTCAGGAGCAAACTATACACTGGTCAGACAAATTTGCCAGAACTTCAACGGCAGACCCATTCAAATTCGCGACGTTTTCGAGAATGTCATGGCAGGGACTGAAGCTGCAAATGGTACTTTGTTGAGAGTCATTTCCAAGATGACTTTTTCAGAAATGGGAATCGGTAGTGAGTCGTTCATCGGAGTGATCAACACACCATCCAACATTTGGGTCTACGATGATGGAACACCGTTGCAATTTCAAAACTGGATGCCAGGTGCTGCAATTCACACTGTTCTTACTCCAATTTAAAGTGGTGATCTGTGCAAGAGAAGCTTTTTATAAAATATAGAAATGTATAGAACAAGTTAGGTATTAAAACATACAATGACACAAAACTTTCAAGGTCATCCTCTCTCCAATTCGACCTGTGTTGTGCAAAGTGCGTCCACCTATCAATGGATCTCTGTGGGCTGTCAGGAGAACTATTCGTTTATCTGTTCGATTCCTGATCAAGAGAATGCAACCACCACAACGACCACCACTACAGCTACAACCACAACGACGACAACGACTACGACGACTACCACAACAACCACCACAACAACATGGAATCGTGGGTTTTTGAGAGTTGGAATGATTAGATTCTCGAAGTACTACTTAAAGTCATTAATTTCTGCTTAAACTTTATTTTTAATACTAGCTAATACAAATAGAAATTCTAATGTAAGAGCTACAAAACCTCGCAAAGCACGTCTTCTGTACCGAGAGTCCGATTGACTCATCCGCCCCTTATCAGAACAAAAAGCACAAGTCAGCAAGCTCCAGAAATCTTTCTGTTATCTTTTTATGAATCAAAAACGTTAAAAACAGCTTTTCTAACTTTCTGTCATTTTGTACATTTTGCACACTTTCCAGCTTGTCCCGCATCGGATGGCTGGATCCAACACAATGGATACTGCTACTATTTCTATGTAAGATTTGCATTACTTTAAACTTTTAACTCAAGCAATTTGAATATTCATAGAAATTTATTCCAGAATGCCCAAGTCCAAACGACAAAGCCATTGTTCAACCAATCCACAGCACAAAACGCCTGTCTATCAAGAAACGCGCAGCTCGCCTCGATCCACAGTGACGCCGAGTTTCAATTCCTGAAACGTGAGCTTTTTGGAAAATGTAAATATATCTCTTAAAATTTAAGATCTTAAATTTATCAAAGATTTCCAGTAAGCAACTTTCTAATCTTTAGCTTTTAAATATTCTAACCAATTTCCTGCTTTTCTGCTTTCACTTAATAGAATATTCAGGCCAAATCGCCACCTCTTCCGAGAATCAACCGGATCTCTATTGTCAACGAGATCAAGCATTGATCGGCTTGACATGTGTATGGCCTAATTCCATGTTTTGGCTTGATGGATCACCATTTGATTACGATCAAACACAAGGACAATGCAATGACGCCTATGCGGTAAGAGACTAAAGAAAATTAGGAACAAAAAAGCTTTTAGATAATCAATGACAGTCGCTGTGGCTCGACCGTCGATACGTGGGAGAATTGGACCGATTCCACGCAATTTACCCGCTATATTTGCAAGAAAAGAGACCCAAGAACAGCTTCCGAGCAAACTCAACTGAAATCTAAGAGAATTTGATTTTTGAATAAACTTTTCATGCATAAAACATCGAACAGCTGTCGAAAAGCTCTATCAGAGCAAAAACATCTGTTTAGTCAACAATTTTAAACACGATTGAATTTTGTTTTTAGAAGTTAGTTGTTAAAATACTTCTGTGTCATATTTGTTATTTATTTCCATTTATTTCCTTGTTCCTTGTTAAGAGAGTATTTTCGATAGATCGAATGATTCGGTTTCCTTTCAAACATCCGCATCTGAAACTGCAAGACGGTGAAAACGAGAGATTGCCATAGGTCTTTTAGATTCTCAGCTTCCAATGACTTTTACACTAGACATTCAGAAAAACTCAGGCATTGTCTAATGAAAATATTTATTTTACTCCTCGCTTCGTTTTCTTCTTTTCAAGAAGCCGCCGGCGATGATGGGAGTAATCAATCAGAAATCTTGTGGCTTCCTGATATAAGCAACTTAAAATTTTAGCTTTTGATAAACAAACAACAATACCATTATCATAAATATAAATCTCATTTCCAGAAGAATCATCAATCGAGTGGATTCCTTTCCGGCCAGCTGTAGAGCCAATTGAAATTGAATTGAAGTCAACAGTGATTGATTTGACTAGTTAACAATAGACTTCAGAACTTTGACTAATTGGGTATTTTTTTATTGTCAAACTAATATGGGTACACGTGTAAAGCAAAATTTTTAGGTTTTCGTGTATCGTGAGGTCTTTTCGTAAAAAAATAATTGTTTATTTGAAATAATTACCCAGAACTGCTCAGAATGCTGGCTCTTTTTGGGTGTTTCTGAGCAAAATTCGCCGTAAAGAGACTCATCGTTCTCGCCTTTTCCCTCGGTTTACGTAGAAGGAGGATAGTGATTATGCTAAAACTTAAAGAATCAAAAGCCTTTTTCAAACTTCTTACCTTTCAACCAAATAGAAGAGTAAAGCACGCATAAAATTGAAGAATGAAATGAGAACGGAGAGGAAGTTTCGACCGAAGAATAGGGAGAAAAGTAATTGAAGGGAGAAGGCGATCAGTGTGTTCCAAAGGGCAAGAACTGAACTGGCGATCATCTGAAATTAAAAAGATGCACATGAAACTGTTCTGTGCTCAAGTTTTGACGTAAAAATCACAGCGAATCTAATTCTGGACGTTGATTTTTGTTGAGAATAAAAAATGTAACTTTTAGTTCTGATAACCTGGGGTTTATATCTGATATCTGATAGATTCTAGAACCTCTCAAGGCAAGTGATTGAGTTGTGAGAAATCACTAACTAACCCCGTCTATCTCTTCCCATTTCCCATTTCCTTCAAACCTGTATCATCAATAAACTCTCTGTCCGAGTGGCTCTCCCGCTTTTCTTCAACTAAAGCTCACCATGAGAGAATCTCTCCACTTCACAAACCTTTCTCATATTTTTATTGTTAACAAAATCGAGAGAACAGGCCATAAAATAGGGTAACATGATCAACGTGGGAGTGAAGTACGAATAGAAACCGTTAACGATCAAAGGACGGTTTGGTCCATTGAGGTTTCCATCGAAAAAGTAATCGGGCAGCTGAAAGAGAACCCTCAAAGCATAGGGAATACAGAACTGAGGAAATGGCCATTTTGTCGTGTATCGAAAATAGGCACCGTCAAAGGAAATGGCAAAGAAACGGCTAAAAATTCATTTTTCTCGCTTTTTTCTTTTCCAAACCTGAGCGAAATCAAGAATTGACAATATTGAGCCATATCGGGCAGACCCCAAACTAGAAGATTACTCCAAATCGTGTCACTGACGGCTTTTAAACCGACAGAACATCTAAAGTTTAGTTGAAAATTTGATCGGTTTCAGAAAATAACCCAATCGATGAGATCGTCTTGGAACAGAACTGATTAAGTGTATAGAAAATTGCGAATAGAAATTTGGTGAAATTCTCCGCTGTCGCGAGCACTCTGAAACTATTTCCTTTAAAATTTTCGTTCAGAACTGGTTTAGTTACTCAACATCAACAATTTTTATGAAGGCATTCTGAAGCTCTTTCCGTTTACCGAATCGGCAACGTCAATCGATCGTTCGTCGCTGAGTAATACATGGCCAACGGGGTCGTTAAGAGACTCAGAAATACAACCTGAACCGAAAATTCAAATCTTTTCTCTTTTCTCTCTCGTTTCAAACACTTCGATCGCTCCAATCCAAAATCGTGTTCAAATTGCTGGCCAAATTTGGATCAACGTCTATTTTTGTGCCTTTGACAAGTGTCGGTTGTTGAGCCAAACAGAAAATTGGGATGAAAATTACTAAAGTTCGATTGTAAGACAATCAAAAATTCCTTCCAAACTAAAGAGAATCGTTGTTAAGGCAAGAACTGTTAGAATATCTTTCACGTTTTGAGATAACATTTCAGATTTGACAACAATAACTTTTAAACTGATCAAGTAGACGTTGACTTTACGATTTCATCTGTAATTATGGGCGGTGAACCCGGTAATTTGAAGCTTTCGGAAATAAACGTGATTGAGAAGAAAAAGCTTGTTTATGGGGTTTTCTCGTTTCCGAAAATCAAAAGAAATTACAAGGTAATTACCAAACTTTTTGGAGTGTACAAGGCAAAGAATATTCCGAGAGCAGCCAGGGAATAACTGTATTACTAACCTTTCATTTTTATGCGCAGTTTTATAATACATCAGCAAATACAAAACGCAGTTTGTTCAAAGCTGAACTTAGCTGACCTTTCATACCTTTATTCTCGTTTAATTTCATTTTTATGTCGATGCTTGTAGCATTGATCAATTCGCCGACGTGACTCGTCGTTTTTCAACTCTCATTTTCTGTATCCATCTCCCACATCCAACTCTTTGCATCACAAAATGTCGATACGGTATATAAACACTTGGTGGTGATTGTGAAAATTGAGCCGTAAAAGCTCTGGATAAAGTTGGTGACGTCGATGATTGCTGAAATGGACTGGAATGACTAAATATTTCAAGTTCTGAAGTCATAAGACTAAAGTAACCCAAAACTTATAGGTTTAACAGTTGCTTATACTTCTCAAGGCAAACTAGTAAGACATGAACAGTTTGAGCTCCCCTAACGTTTTATAATGAGCTAGAATATACTTTTATAAGCTAGAATATACTAGAACATGAGTTCTATAAAAATTCGAAAAAACCCGCAGAGACCACAAAGAACAGCACGATTTGTCGAGCGAAGAGCAAAGAAGTTCCATACAGTAAGCGCAACGAATAAAAGGAACACTTCGACACAAATCGACTGAACACTCTCCAATCATTTCAGTAGAGAGAATACGGTAGTTGTTAAATGATTTTATTATAAATTTCAGCTTGCCCTGATGCTACGATTTGTGTCTACGAAGAGCCGCAGTTTGTTGTCTGCGCCCAGGTTTGTTTATTGTTGTTTGTTGTTGTTTGTTGTTTGTTTATTGTTTGCGCCAACAGACGACGAAGCTTTCGAAAAATGTATGGCCTTTATGAAAAATTTTGCGATATACAGGGTTCGTCATAATTATTGCAACAAGAGTTCAAAGACCGTTTTCCAAACAGGAAAACGGGCGTGTCATGGGCGTGTAAAGCCAATAACAATCAAAATTGGACCTTCATGCAAGATGGAGCTCCCGCTCACACGAAGAAGACGGTTCAGGACTGGTGTGTGGCCAACTTTCCCTCAGTGATCACCAAGGATGAATGGCCTTCAAACTCACCGGATCTCAATGTGATGGACTTTTCCATTTGTGCAATCTTAGAGGAAAACACACAATTTTGGATTCTTTGAAGAAGTCTTTGACCAAAGGATGGAAGGCGATTCCTCAAGATGACATTCGGGCCGCAGTGGAGGCATATCCGAACCGATTAAGGGCTGTTATCAAGGCAAAAGGCGGTCATATCGAATGATCTCTTGTTTCCTTATTTGTTACTGTTAAATAAAGCTATTTCTTTTTAAAAATCTTCTTCCAGTGAGACTTTTTGGTGTGCAATGCCTTGAGTATCTTGTTGCAATAATTATGACGCACCCTGTAGTGCATTAAAAATTCCATTGAAAATTTTTCGCAGGACTTTCCGTTCAACCCAATAGCTTCCTCAGGTTTTTATCTTTGTTTCGATTCTTTATGCAAAGAAGGACCTTTTTTTCTTAGTCACAATGATTCACCCAGAAAGAGAGGCACCGGTCGATTGCTTTCACGGCTCACATTTCAAATTTTACAGTTTTGTTTTCTGTTTTGCACCTTTGACAAGACAATTCATTGTGCCAGATTGTGCTGTTACATATGAAGGCCAAAAAGATGTCGAGCTAGGAAGGTAACAACAGAAAAATCAAATCGAATCAACAATTCAAATTGAGAAAAGTTCAATATTCGATGCATTCCTTCACTTGACTAATCGCAGTAGACTGGCTGAAATATCAAATTTGTAAAATTTGCCTAGACTTCTAGCAAGATTAGCAGACTGTAAAAACTTTAATAACAATTTTTAACTGGTTCTCCTAATAGTTTCTATATATTTTTTTTTTGATATCTTTGCATCGACTCACCTTTTCATAGAATCCGCCTTTCTTTATGGGACGAATGAAAATGAGGTGTCCAGCGCAATCGTTTTCCACACAATCAGCTGTTTTCCACTCCTAAAATAATCAGTTGTATAGGTAGTTGAATAGTAAAGTTCGTCCTTAGCAGGTAGGAAGTGAAATTTGTAAGGATTTGACATTTCTGAACCTGAACTGATTGAAAATAAACTTGTTCTGACAAGGAAATGTCGACAGAGTGTTGTGGCCAAATGATGTGAGCCATATGCTAACCGACGTAAAGTTTTGCGCCCATACCGAATCTGTTTTCGGTTTTTGCAACACAACACTCTGTAAAAAGTTATACGCGTTTAAATCTTTGCATGGAATCGCAGAAAACAGAGCCTGAGTTTGTAAGTTGACTTACCAGAGACAAAAAGACGGTCGTGTTGATGATGTCAGACGCAGTCGTGTTGGCCGAGTGGCAGTAAAGCTTGAATACAAAGCAAGGACTCTAGGGTTCGAGTCTGGCGTGTGGCACTCGACTTTTGTTTTTGTTTCTTTTAGCCTTGAATGATTTGACTGTTTTCCGTTTCAAGTGCAAATTTATTTTAGCATTAGTGTTCTCTATGTCGTACAGCATCTGGCAATCTAATCGTACAGCATCTGGCACACCGTTGCTCTGGATATACAGCTAATGATGACCATTTGATGTCGCCTGCAACTGTTCGGCAATTGATTGCTGGTAAAAGAATTGATTAAAAGGATAGTGAGCCATGTTAATTTGTATTTCCATGTCAAAATGTCAAAATATCAAAATTTGTATTTGAAATGGAAAACAATGAAATCATTCAAAGCCAAAGAACCAAAAACGAAAGTCGAATGCCGGTCTCGAACCCCAAAGTCCTTGCTTCTTATTCAAGCTTACTGCCACTCGGCCACCACAACTTTTCCCCTCTGCTAAGTGAACTTATAACCTCAGGGTCTGTTTTCTGCAGTTCCATGCAAAAATTTAAATGCGTAACTAACTTTTTACAGAGCGCTGCGTTGCAAAAACCGAAAACAGATTCGGAATGAGCGCAAAACTTTACGTCGGTTAGTATATGGCTTATATCATTTGGTCACAACACTCTGTCGACATTCCCTTGTGAGTATGTGAGATAGTGGAACAAAATCAGACTCAAGAACGCCACCTTTCTCTTGCTCCCATTGAGCCCTTGCTTGGCCAAAGTCTCCTTGAAGCACTCCTCATGGGTGAAAAAGCTGGGCACCTTGAGGTTGCACTCGATCTGAAATTTTCATATTAAAATAATCTAGCTCAAAGATTCGCACCGACCTCAAAAGCGTTTTGCTCTTCGTATGTAAAATTGACGTCACAACAAACGCATTTCAAAAGTGGGAAGCTTTGAGGTTTTGGTGAGATTGTCCTAATCTCAGTGGGTGTTGGTGGAGATGTGAGAAGAGAATTCAGTGGAGGTGAGACGCTGGAAATCAAGTTTTCGTTAAACGACAGCATAAAATATGATTTGCCGCTTTCAAAAGTTGGGAAAAGATTTCAAAATTATTAACTTCCGACAAGGGAATGGGGCCAACCCAACACAATTAGCAGAAATTTGGACTGGGTCAACTCCTGCAGAGACTGGTGCAACTGGAGAGACTGGAGGAGCTACAGGTGGCACTGGAGCAACGATTTCTAACTTTAAGTTGAAAGCCAGGTGGAAGCAGTTCAATAATGAACTCAATTGTCAAGCTTGTTTTTGTCACTTACTTAAATTTTTCACCATTGTCTCGAGGATTCGATTTCTTTTGTTGGGCACTGCCAATATTCGAAATCTTTAGACGCCTTCTAAAGTTACAATTTTTTTACAACTTACCTGGTAATAATAAGACAAGTTTAATGCTAAATTGCTCAAGTTCACAGTTTTTGAAACCTCTGGAAACTTGCCTCTTTTCAGCGCCACCAAATTTCCATTCATAGAATAGCCTGCCAGCGAGGATCACCAAGAACAAGGAAAGGATCAGCGTAGGTAAAGGGGTTCGCCATTTTTCATAGACGGTTGTTGGAAGGCATGAATTGGTGGGCAATAAAACGATCTGGTCACATTTAATCACTGTTTTCTGTGTGAATTGCAGAAAACGCTTCTCTCTTTGAAAGAATTCTCTTTTAGGGCAAGGGAGATCATTGAAGAGCTCTAGAAAAAAGGTGTCGAGATCAATAAACAAATGGTAACTCTCAATTTTGATCCAAAAAACCAACCCTTGATTTGTCTCGCAAAGATCCGGGCTTCCTCGATTGCTTGATTGATTGTAACAAGTTGACCATTCCACAAATTGTTTAAAAAATTGTCCAAATTATCGTTGATTTGCTTTATATGCTTTGATTTGAGTAGTTTCCCTTTATCACCAAGCTCCTCATGGACAAATGTTGCCACGATACAGTCGTGGACTGATGGATCCCAACTTTCCAAATTGAGTACGGTTATACGGTTATAGACGGAAAAGCCAAGGCTTTATACGGTTATACCTTTCCCCCACAACGGGCTTAAAATCGATTTTCCAAAAATTAAAAACCTGATCAATACCAATTTTTATATGCTATCCAACTAAGAAAAATCCAAAGTTTCATTAAAATCTGTCTAGGCAAAAAAAAGTTAATAGGGTGAACACGTTTCCAGGCTATTTGTTCCAGGTTTACATCTATTCGACAAAAAACAGGTAAAAATTTGTCACAAAACTTGAAAAAAACTGAATTACATATTATTCACATTCACTTAAAGCCTTTTCGAATGATTGTTTTTCTTTAATTGAATGATGATTTAATGAATGACTGAATTGTTGTCGATTTGTTTGTTATTATACATTGTTCTTGTTCTTGTTTTCTTTTTATCGTGATTCTAGTTATGTTTAAGTTAAAATTTAAAGTAAAATGTTTTTTTAGATCGTCAGTGCTTTTATCACGAGAAATTCAAGTTGAATTGTTGCGGTTTTTGGAAGAAATGGCCTGGAAACGTGTTCACCCTATTAACTTTTTTTTGAGTAGACAAATTCTAATGAAATTTTGGATTTTTCTTAGTTGGATAGCATATAAAAATTGGTATTGATCAGGTTTTTAATTTTTAAAAACTCGATTTTAACGTTAGCCGTGGATCATTGTGTCCCCCTTCAGTACAAGTCCAAAAAATTGAAACGACAGATCAAAAATCTGAATCATCTGAAATGTCGTGCGCATTCCAACTAAGAAATTCGCAAAAAATTAAAAAATTCTGAGCACTCACAAAAGAGGAATAAGCGCCAGAAGATTTGAGGGTCTGCGCGCAGAATGTGGGTAAATAACCGTAACCCAAAGGGTCAAATGGCTGCAAAATCGCTGAACTTTTTTCGCACTTTTGGACTTTTGGTTCGTTTTTTCGCATTTACTTTGTGATAATTCCTTCAGTGAGCCATCCAAAAAAATTAAGTTTTTATTTCTGTAATAGATTGATTTGTTTAAAGGATAAAGGACCAGCTAATAAAATCAAACAATCTAACTGCATTCATTATTAAAGCAACATAAATTAAATTCAATTTGAAAAAACGAAAAAAGTCCAGCGATTTTGCAGCCATTTGACCCTTTGGGCTAGGATAATTTGCCCACATGTTAGCGCGCAGACTCTCAAATCTTCGGGCGCTATTCCTCTTTTGTGAGTGCTCAGAATTTTTTAATTTTTCGTGAATTTCTTAGCTGGAGTGCACACAACATTTCACGGGGCTCAGATTTTTGATCTGTCGTTATTGTATCTTTACTCAGGAGCGTACCCATAGTACCTCTCCCACAAGCGCATCAATAGGGTTATACAGGGTGCGGCAGAATTATAGGTGCAGAGAAGTTCCATTGGAATATGACCAAAAAACGAAAAATTTGCCACAAAAACAGTTTTAACATATTTATTGAACTTAAATTAACAACTTTTATTGATCATATTCGAATCTTCCTCTTTTGGCGTCGATGCAAGATTTGAGTCGCTTGGGAAAGGCGTCGACCGTGGCGACCAAGTAGGCGGCGTCCAGACCCTCCCAGGCTTTCAAGAGAGATTTCTTCAAACTTTCGAGGTTTTTGTGAGGTTTCTGACAGGCCTCGGCTTCAAGAATAGACCAGACCGAGAAATCCAATGGATCGAGGTCTGGGGAGCTTGGGGGCCACTCGTTGAATGCAATGAAGTCGGGAAAAGTCGCTTTGCAGAAATCCTGAACAATCTTGGCTTTGTGAGCGGGAGCACCATCTTGCTGGAAGGTCCAGATGCGATTTTGGAAGTGATTTTGAGCCCAGGGAACAAGTTTTTTCTTTAGCATATCCAAGTACGTGTTCGCATTAACTTTGACTCCTTGTGGCAAGACACCAAAATCAGTGGTGTCTTGCCGGAAGCCGTCACACCGCCAAAAACCATGACTGAAGCTGGGTGGCCGCTGCGACCGACGGTAACATTTGGTTGAGTTTTCGACCAAACTCGATCGTTCTGCTTGTTCAGAATTCCTTCAATCGTAAAAATTTTCTCATCGGTGAACAAAATGTTCCTATGGTCGATTCCGTTGAAACGAAGACGAAGGCTTTCACATCGATCTTTTCTCTTCAATTTGGCGCCTGCCGAAAGCAGAGCGGATTTGTTCTTCTTGTAGGGCTTGAACTTGAGCTTGTCCTTGATAATTCGACGGATTGATCGATCGGATACACCCATATGTTTGGCAATTCTTCGAGCGGACTGATTGGGCTTCTTTCGCAGGCGATCCCTGACCTTCTTGATGTTGCCTTTCGTCACCACAGATGGACAAACACCTCCTCGCGGCCGATCAGACATTGATCCCAACTCGTTGTAGCGTTGAATGACTCGGTTAACAACGTTTCGATGCACTCCCAACTTTCTTCCGATCACGGTCGCCGATTCGCCCTTCCGATGAAGTTCCACGATCAATTGTCGATGCGGGCAAGCGCGAACCATGGCCTGAAACTCAAAGTTATAAAAAATTATAATTTACAAATACAATTTCAATCATAAAATAACAACAAAAACATAAATTCGAGTGCAAAATCAAGAGCGAAGGCTCGTTTTCCGTCTTTATGTCATGCACCTATAATTCTGCCGCACCCTGTACACATCCGCATCCGCAAAAAAAACGTTCTCTATCAGAATTTCACGTTTGAATATCCATTCGACGCAGAAAATTGTGCTGAATCGAATGGTGAGGAAATTATCGAAATCCGTCTGACTCGATTTTTAAAAATCGCCTTTTATCGAAAAAACCGCACTTTTACAATCAACTCGCTCGCCGCGACCAACTTTCGGTGGCTCGTTCTCAGCGTGGTCGAAAGATTGCGCCCTCAAAAACGATAACTTTTGTGTGGACGTGTGCAAAGATCATTTTGATACCAAAAAAATAAGAATTGATCAACTCTGCGAAGACTTGATGCCTTTTTGGTTAAATGGGTTAAATGGGCGAATCCGGGACACACCCAAAATGCGGTTTTTTTGCTTTTTTTTTTTACCTTCCTAAGCTTTGTTTTAGCTCCCTAAGCATGTAAAACTAAAAATTAGTTGCCGGAAAACGATTTTTAAGCTATCAACATGTACCCAAAATTTTGCTACCCACAACACCTACAAACAACTAAGCCAGAATCAGTAACTAATTTGCTAATTAATTTTCTTTCTTTGCTTTGTTTTAACTTTAATAATCCTCCCTAAGCATGTAAAACTAAAAACACGCCCGAGATTGTCCGTACGTCACGTCCGTAGATTGTCTACGTTTTAGCGGGCAGAGAGTCAAAAAAACGTCATTTTCAACTTAAAAAGGCATCAAGTCTTCGCAGAGTTGATCAATTCTTATTTCTTTGGTATCGAAATGATCTTTGCACACGTCCACACAAAAGTTATCGGTTGAGGGCGCAATCTTTCGACCACGCTGAGAACGAGCCACCGAAAGTTGGTCGCGGCGAGCGAGTTGATTGTAAAAGTGCGGTTTTTTCGATAAAAGGCGATTTTTAAAAATCGAGTCAGACGGATTTCGATAATTTCCTCACCATTCGATTCAGCACAATTTTCTGCGTCGAATGGATATTCAAACGTGAAATTCTGATAGAGAACACCATTTCGCGCGGATGTGTTATACCCCAAAATTTATATTTTAAAAATTTGCACGTAACAATCACACAAACAGTGCTCATCAAAAATGTTTTGCCCATCGTGATTGAATTGTTAATGCAAATGTAAATTATGGGGGTATAAGTGATTGGGATGGGGAGTATAGTACCCTAAATTGTCTATGGTGACTCACCATTGGTGAGTGTTACCCTTGACTAATGCATTTCTAAAAGGAATCTATTTCAGAAAACTATCGTAATCCGACTATTAGCTTTCATTCAATCAGTTCAATTTTGATTACATTTTGATTATTGAAATTAGGGATCACAAGGCTCGGTAAATCAGGCTTGGGCTGATCCAACGAAATTGGGCTGATCCAACGAAAACTGACAGTTTGATTACAGTAATTCTTAAAATAGGCGCATTTCACTCAAGAAAACACTGTTCCCATAAGAGCAAAATTTGATTGGTATTGATTTTATGATTGATAAATCTTCCAAAGCTCACTTGATTCAAACAACTTCCGTAGATCATTCAAAAATCGATCTCTATTGGAGTCATTTTTACTGGCGGTCATAGTGTAACTTTCTTGAGAGTGAATCCAAATAATAGAAAAGAGGAAAATGAATATAAAAGTCTAGTAAACGAATATAAAACAATATCAGTTGAAACTCTAAACAAAGAAAAATCGGTTCAAATAAATGATTCGATTGATTTCCGTTTTTTCTTTCTGTGTTCCTTTTCAAAACATCCTTTTCAAAGTCTTTGCGATGAGAATGTTTTGAATTTTGTGTAACACACACTCAAGGAGAGAAATTTTGAAAATTTGGCGGCAAATTGATGTGCCGGATTTGAAGTAAAAGCTGTTCTTTTTAACTGTTAGTTTTTGAAAGCAAACACTTTTTATTTATGCATCAGTTGGGATGAACATACTCTACAGGGTGAAGCATAATTTCGGTAAGAGTAAATATTGGGTTGGTGAAGCTGAGGAAAATGAATATAACAGTCTATTGGGTTGGGGAGAATGAGTCGGCGCCGAAATTTAAAGAAACTTTTTGCACCCATAAAACCTTCTTTAGATACATGTTTTGTTTCATCAAAATGGTCCACTATTTCTTTACAAAATGGCTTTTGAGAGATTCCACAAAGCTTTTCTTTTTTGGGATTTTATGGATTCCCAAACACAGCTAATCAAAATGACAAAAAGTCTGAC